ATCTAACTGTATTCAGCTACTGGCTATCTTCTAAGTGCACCACATAATGTTTTGGTTCAAAATACTTTGCACATAGTAGGTGCTCAATCAGATCTGTTAAATAACCTCTCTATAGCATTATTGTCATTCTATCAGCCTTGAAGCTTTCCTCCTTCTCTCAAGGGCACTGTTCTGATTTCTCTCTTGCTGCTTCAGCTATTCCTTCTGTCTTCATTGGCTGCTTTTCCCAGATTCATCCTACAAGTATTTACTGAGCCCATGCTATGTGTCAGATAGACTGACAGGTACTGGATACACAGCGGTGAACAAGACAACTAGGTCCCCCAACACCCCAATGTCCTTTCCTCTTATTTACCTGTCCTCAAGTAGCTGACTTCCCTTCAGAGTTTGTCTTCTATTTCTAGCTACTTGAATATTTCTACCTGCATATACTTCTGTCACCATGCCTGAACTGTTTCCCCTCTTTCCATCTTTCTTTGGCCTCCACACCAAATTTCAATTTCTCTGCACTGACTGGCCCCTTTCTTTGCATTCTCATTGGTAACACTTCCCAGCCTGTATCAGAACCTGCTGCTTCTTCCTTTTAGTTTTCGAATTGCTTTTCCTGCCTTTAGTTTAAGTTGCAGTTCATCCTGCCTCTTGTTGTCTAAATCATTATTTTACAAACTGTTGCCAGTTTTGCCACATATGGGGTGCGGCTGAAGAATTTTAGGCCTACTTTTTATAGGATATTTTAACTGCTTCACCCAGCAAGTTTCAGGGATTCTTTACAAGACTACTTAGGTTGGTGTTTGAAGGTTCAAGCTCATTATCCACTCCTACCCTGATTTGTGCTCATTGTTCTCAGAAGACACTGTACCTACTTCTGGATCTTCGCCAGGGGCGCCCCCTTACCTTCTTGGCCTTTCAGTCCAACTCTCTTCTCTCAGCTCCTCATTTAATACACATTGTTTTGTTTCCTACCTTGTAATTATGTCTTCTCTGTCCTGATGTTGCAGGTAACCCCCCCAATTGGGCCTTTTGGTAATCTAAAGTGTATTGAAGTTTGCTGTGTTTTAAGCACTGATATGCTTTACACACATGCTATCATTTTACTTTCACAAGCCCAGGAGTTGCATACTTTAAAATCTCCATTTATAGAGGTTAATTTGCCTAAGGCCACCACTAAGTGGCAGAACCCAAGTTAGAATGAAGGTCTAACTCCAGAATTTGGGTTCCTTTTAGTGACTGCCTGTGGGACCAGGGACTCTGAGAAACACACTTGTACTTCAGAAAGGAGCAGATGTCCTGAAGAGATAAGCCTCAACAAATATTTATTGTGGATAATACTCCCCTCCCACAGGAATTTCTCTTTGACATTAATCATCTTCCATAGTGGCTAGGGTTTGTACTACCCTCTTTGGCACCTGTCTACTGTCCTGTACTGTTGTTTCTAGTGTTCTTTGCCTACAGAGAATTTTTATCAGGTTCAGGCTAGTCCCATCAGCTCACATGGACATGAGGCTGCAGGCCTTCACAGCAGTATCTTCCTTACCCATTGTAGGGAACTAGTGGCACTCAAATCTAAGACCTCTTTGGGGTGGTTTGTCAAAAATGCATTTTCTGAATAGTTTTGGGGTGGAGCCCAGGAATCTCATTCTAGCATCCAGGTCAATATTAGGCCACAGGCAATGGATCAGTGTACATTCCTGCCTGTGAAGATGGCCCATTTAAGCAGGATTATTTCCTGGTATAATGATTCTCTAAACACTGCACACAGCTGAAGAATGAAACTGGGCCTCTTTTGTTTCTGGATACACCACTTGGCAGGTGTAATAACATCCTCTGACAGGCTGCTTGCCACAGGTGCATGCCTGACACGTGCGTCCCGTTGGTACCATCCCCGTTCCCACTACTGCTGTCCAACCAAGACCCCTCTATCTCCACCACCACCCTGCAGCTGTTGCCCTCCCCCAAGCCCTCAAACCCACCCTAGCCCGCAGCCCTCCCTTCCCTTCTGCAGCCCACAATCCCTTCCCTCCCCCCATACCCCTTCCCCAGGCTCCTCCCACCTCAGAATATTTTTTTGTTCCCGGCTAAGTTTATCATGTGAGATGGGGGGTGGGGTAGGAAGGCCTGGTTAGATGGAGAGATCGCTCTGCCATTCACCAGAGATCCTACTGAATGGGCACTTTTTCCATCTGAGAAAACCTTATGTTTCTACCAGAGAAATGGGCAGAGGCCCCTCTCTGGAATTTGGAGAGATGACACTCCCCGGCGCAACCCCTCAGTCTCCGCAGACATCCCAAAGCAGGCCCAACCTGCTGCGTTCCTTTGTTGGGGCACAGAGGGAATGGGATCTTACCGATAAGGTGAGAAGGTCTTCAGAGAATACCAAGATGGGCCCTCCCTTCTCCCTCCTCCCTCCAATCACCTAAGGCTAAAAGGGGAAGAAAAAAAGCACCAACAAAGAGTTTAAGATAGTAATTCCCAGCTTTTTCAAATATGAAGCATTTTTTAACCAATCCATTTTTTAATTCTTAAATTCTTGACATTACAGAACTAAACTGAAATTTTTTAACATTCCACTCTTACATTTCTTATCGACAAACAGAAATAAAATTCATGAGCCAAAAAACCCAAACGAAACTAAAAACAGGGAAAAGCTTATAAAACTAAATATGGATCCCAGCATTAACAGCTGAACAGAGAATGTGATTTTTAAATTCTTAGCAGATGATAAAGTTGTGTAGAAACTGAACACTTACAAATTATTTAAAACCTGGAATCACTGACCAGAAATTACACAGTTGGATCATGGGAAAACAGCAGAAAGGGGTTATGAGGGAACCTACACTGTTCTAGCTGCACCCCATGCCCTTCTCAGAGGAAAGCCTGGCATTGATTAGATACTGGGCCAGACTAATACTGGCAGCAGAGCCAGTGATAGTAACCTGCCTACCAGAAGAGCCTTCCACTGGATTGGCAATTTTGATCTGGGCCCCGGACATCTGGCGGATCTCATTAATGTTGGCGCCTTGGCGCCCGATTATGCAGCCAATTAAGTTATTTGGAATGGTGAGTTCATGGGTGGTTTGAGTAGATGCATCCAAACTTGCCCAATAGCCTTTCACCTCTGGAGAGCTGGAGTCAATTCCGGCGAATCCGGTCCCGCCGTGCATCATGGCAAAGTGAGATTGTTGTCTTGCCACCTGGTTCAGCTTGGCCAGATCGAGCGGAGAAATGGTGTGTTGTCCTTGAATCGAGTAGGCATCTAGAGGTGGTCCCTCCAGGTCATGGGTGGCGTGAGGGTAGCCCGCAGCGTCGCTGCACCGATCTTGGCCGCCCGCGCAGATGACTGGAGAGCTGGCCGGCATGGGCTGGTACGGAATGGTCATGACTCTCCCTTGCGGAGACTGGGAGAGCGTCTCCAGCATGACCAGGCAGATCTGCTTGACACACTCGGTGACAGACTGCGGCACGCCAGCGATGGTGATGGCCCGCTCGGTGGAGTTGGGCAGCATATCCCCCGCCACCTGGACCTGGGCCCCCGTACTCTCGCGGATCTCTTTGATCTTACACCCGCCTTTCCCAATCAGGGAGCCGCACTGGGTGGCCGGCACCACCAGCCTCAGGGTGACCGGGGGCCTGCTGGCCGCCGTGCTGTTGGTCATGGAGCTGTTGATATCTTCTTCCAGCTTGTCGATGATCATAGCGAAAGCCTTAAAGATGGCATTGGTGGGGCCGGTCAGAGTGATGATTCTCTCCGGACAATTCCCCTCCGAGATGTTGATCCGCGCGCCACTCTCCTCGCGGATCCTCTTAACCGACTCCCCTTTCTTCCCAATGATGCTTCCTACTTCCTTTCCGTGCATAAGAAGCCGAATGGTGAGAGTCACATTTAGTCCGCTTTCAGTCACACCGGCATCCATGGCGAGCGGCGGGCGGCGTTCGGGGGAGTTGGGCTCGTTACGTGGTCAAGTCTTTGGCGGCTGGCGGGGGGAGGGGAGGTGTAGGCCCAAAACTGCCGGCGCGAGGCGAGCGAGAGCCGCGGGAGCGAGCGGGCGCGGGCGGGAGGCCGCGGCGTAGTCGCAGGGGCGGGCGGCGGCGGCGGAGGGGGCGAGCGGGGCCGGGAGCGGCGGGCGGGCGGGTGGGCGAGGGCGCGGCGGTGGCGACTCCGGCGGCAGCCTCGGCGGTCTGGGCGGGGCGGGAAGCCCGCTTTCAACCCCGCATACCCTCTGACCCCGGAAGTGCTTTCTGCGCAGGACCCCTTGAAAAAAATGAGGACCCGTCTTTTTTAGGTCACAAGATTGCGCCAACCCCGACACGGCACATTAAAAAAAACCTTTTAACACCCGCAGTAGTGAAAATTAAGCAATGATGAAGGGAAGCCGAGAGTCCGGCAATTTTTTAAAATAAACATGTATTTTATTAACTCCGACATCACTGGCGGATGACTGAAAATATTAGTGTTGTGTATAGGAGACACATATTATTTTTACGCTTTACCAATAGGGTTTATCCGCGGAGCGACACGGGCAGCCCCGGCGGTAACTGCAGGCGGTAGCCGGGACGCCGCGGGTTTAAAACGTGCGCGTGAGGTGACCAGAGCGCGTGCGCGAGGGTGTGGGGGGACGGGAGGGGCAGGTGCCGTCTTCCGGGGGGGAGGGGCGGCGAGGCGAGGCCTGACTGGCGGGTGCGCGCGCGGGCGGGCACGTGGGGCCTTTTCGTCCCCGGCGTCCTGGCGCCCCGCGCCAGCCCCCACCCATGCCCCGGCCCCTTGGTGGTGGCCGGTGAGCCCAAAGACTCAAACCCACCCCCTTTCGCCGCCGAATCGGGGCTCTGCTGTTTTCTGGGAAGTGCTAGAAACCCGACCATAAAAAGAATGGCGTCCATTTACATAATGCTTTGTTTGCATTTTGCAAGTTTCTGTCTGTTAAAGCCACAGAAACCCCACCTCCTGCCCTTGTGTCGATTCAACCGCGGCATCCTTGTCAGACATTTCAGACAATAGTGTGAGGCCTCATTTATTAAGGGGGTGCCGACCAGGGCTTTGGGGAGAGCCCGCGGTTTTTCCCGCGCGGTCAACGCCCCCACTGCTGCTTTTCCGCCCCTTCCCCTCAGTACGGCCGCCGCGCCCTTCGCTCTCCGGGGCGGCCCTGATGGGGCCCGCCATCTTGGAAGGCCTTTCCTGCTGAATTCATCTCTTTGAAGAAATGTCGCTCGAGTCACTGGCCTACGAGTCGTGACTTTTGCCCCTTCCCCTTCCTCCTTGGGCTAAGCCAGACCAGCAAAGGCTGTGTGCGCAACGTGCTTTAGGATCCCTCGGGGAAAGAGGCTAACGTGGCGTTCCTCCTCCTCCCCCTCTTCTTTCCCCGCGGGGGCGGCCGCCATGTTTTCTGAACACAAAATGGCGACACGTGGCCTGGATTCGTCGCCAACGAGAAATTGGGGTGGGCCAGAAAGCTCTAGAATGCACCCCCTTTACTCCCCGGGGCCTTCCCCGCTCTGCGAGCATTGTAACCACTCCCTCAAAATCCCCCTGCTGGTCCGAAGCTCAGCGGGAGAATTTTAACCCGATAACCTCTTTAGTTTGAAAAGGGAATCTGTAACATGTAGGCACTATATTGATTTTCTTGTTCTTTTTAAGTTTAATAATGGATAATGGAGAGGGGGCAGTACCAAGAAATAATTTGAGCCTCTATAGTACCAAAGCATTTGAATGAGATGGGAAATGACTGCTTTCCTAGATTTCCTAGTCCAGGCTGTTGTGGTTGAGAGCGTATGTTATTTTATAAGGCTTCTATAAAAGCAGAACAACGTCCACGAAGAGACTAGGATGCTTATGACTTTTTCACGGGCCAGCTGGCTAGGGAATCTCAGTCCACCACCATAAGTGTTCACTTTTAGTCTAGAAGGGACAGGCGTTTACTGTGCATTTGTCAGTGCCAGATTCTGTGGTAGGAATTTTACTGCATACTGCCTTTAATTTTGATCATGATCCTTTGAGGTAGGTGTTATTACGTGCTCTCTCTCTCTCTTTTTTTTTCAACAGAGGAAGACATTTAAACCTAGAGAGATGAAGTGACTAAATCAAGGTCACACAGTGTCGGGGATGGAGTCCAGACCTTCTGATTTCCTTACTGGTGAGCATGTCTTCCACATTTTTTTTTTTTGTAAATCAGGATTTTAGGATTTTAATGGTATATTAAAAGTTTAGGTGAACTTGTCATTTATAGAACCCCTCAGGTAACTTTTTGTTGTTCAGTCTGCCCCTATTTGTATCTGAGGGCTCCCAGCTTTTCCTAATGTGAGGGATACCTGTAATGGGCTCAAATGCTATTTTTTTTTTTCTTGTTTATTTTCAAATGCTATTTTATAAGACCTCTGGGTGAGGTTAGGGAGGGGTAAGTGGTTCAGACTGAGCCCAGAGACTCAGGTATCTGCCATTCTGGCCTTGTCTGTGGCACATTTGAGTCTACCTGGCTCTGGAGGAGCAAACAACTCTCTGTATGACTCACTTGCTTTCCTCATCTATCCATAGGTTTGACTTCCGTCTTCCCCACCCTAACCTGGTAAAAATAAATTATTTTACTCTAGTGCCAAGCCTCCATTTCTCTGCAAAGATTGACAGGGCATGACTGTTAGATAAGTCATAGTCTGTGGACTCTTCAATTCATTGTAACACATAGCTAGTGGGCCAAGCAATAAACACGTGCCTGGACAGGGTACTGAGTGTGTGGGTGTGAGAGATGAGGAGAAGGGTTTTTTGCCTTTAACTTATTACCTTAATATTAGATGTCAAATTTTTTTTTTATTTTTTTATTTTTTTATTTTTTTAGGCTGGTCAAGTGGAGCAGTGGGAGTGGAGAAGGAACAAAGGAATCTGTAACTGGTTGTGATCAATTAGTTGTAAACACCACTGCACTCGGACCAACCTAATTTTTTTTTTTTAGATGTCAAATTTTCCAAAGTGTTTTCACATTATTTTATGTAACCTATAAACAATTTTGGTAGATAGATACATAACAGCAATTGTGATAGTAAATAGCACTAAGTGCTTACTATGTGGTAGGCATTGTTTTAAATCTTATTCTGTGCATTAATTCAGTGGCTCTCATATTTTAAAAGCAGACCACTGTAAGAAATAGATTTTACATCATGATTAAGACATACATACACACATATGTATAACAAATTTTTTGCAAAACAGTACTTATTACTACATGCAATGTACTTGAGTAATTTCTATTCTTTATATATTAAAAAAGGGTACATTATAACTAAAGTGATTAAAAACCCATATGTAAGTTGTGACCACTTAAACACATTTAATCCTTAAAAAATCTCCTGAAATGAGTGGTGATATTATTTCAATTTTACAGGAGTACAGATTGGTGAAGGAGTTTGTCCGAGGTCACATAGCTATTAAGGTAAAGTAAGGATTTGAATTTAGGCAATGTGAATCCAAAGACTACATGCTTAATCACTAAGATGGATGTAGACACTGAAGAGGGCCTTGTCTTATAGGGAGACAGAATAGATTAGGGAATTACAAATATTAGTAAGTATAAAGAACTCGTGACAACAAAAGGACTAAATTGCATATAATCAAGGAGTGTCCTGATTTAAGCAGTCTCATCCTCTAAATCTGTAACTTACTTACCTTCTTTAAAGAAAATTTTATCCATCAAGTTGTTCTTCCCAAGACTGTCTAATTTAAGTCTTTTCTGTCTGAAATATTTCCTTAATTTCCTCTTACCTGAGTACCTCTAGGACTCAGTGTACCTCCTCAGTGAAGCCTTCCCTTTTCCAGCTCCTCCAGCCCTCAGCTTCCCTCCTTCCAGAGTCCTACAGCCCTTCCCTTCAGTAGCCCACATTTGACTGTAGATTAAATTGTAATGTGTCTTTGTGTTGATAATGTGTTATGTCGGCCACAGGCTACCTTGGGTGATGCTGCGATCTGGCAAAGAGGTCACTGGACTTTGGAATCTGAGGCTGTGGCCCCTAGCGCTGTCACTGACTAGCTGGGAGACTTCTACAACCCAGTTCATCTCTCTGGGTCTCAGTTTTCCCATCTGTAAAAACAAGAGACTAAGTGATCTCTAAGGCCACTTCTAATTCTGTCCAAGGAGTGATGATATTTGATGATCTTGGTTATTCTTGAGGGAAAGTTATTTATCCAGGGGAGGAAGTTTATGTAAATGTTTTCCTCACTTTTGGTAAATTTTCTACTCCTTCCTCAGACTTGCATTATCTTGTGGATACCTGAATGAATTCCATACGACCCATTTTATAGATGAAGCCACTGAGATGTGGAACAACTGACTGAATAGTCACCGCCCCACCCCTGGAGCCTCACACATGACTCTTCTCTTTCCTCTCGGTGACCACAGGTTGATTAAGGGGTTTAATGAGGTTGAGAAGGTGAGTCAGGCTTAGACTTTGGAAATTGAACCACAGGATTTATGCTCTATTTAGAGGAATGGTTTTTGCTTCCTCTTACATTGAGTTGGTATGTTATGTAAAACCTTTCAAAGTGATTTCACATTACTTGTTTAATCGTGACAGACAACTTTGCCAGTAAGGTTATGATTTTGCTCATTTTACAGAAGAGCCATCTTTGGATCAGAGGAGCAAAGTGACTTACCCAAGGTTGCACAGCTTGTTAGGGCCTATGCTGGGCCTCTTGACTCCTGGTTGTGGATTTTTCCTTTTCTTGGCTTCTGATGCTTTATGGCATGGACTTTGACATGTGGGATAACTTTACCATAAATTCAAAAAGCTTTCCAGCCAGTCTTTATTTTTCTGTCCTAAAACATCCAATGCATTTATCTTAGGCTCCTGACTCTTTCAGTTTAAGAGAATCTCTTCTCTCTTTTTCTGTGGTTTATATTTATGAGTTTTGGAAGGAGTGGGGATGATTCCTCAACAAGACTCTCTTAAGTCCCCTGCGGACAAGGACCAGATTTTTCTCTAATCTGCTAAGTTTATCAAGTATACTACAGCTGTTTAAATTTGCTCTGCCAACATGCAGCATTTTTTCAAAAACATGGTTTCTTTTTCTTTCCTCCTTTAGATTTATCTTTCTTTCTTTCTTTCTTTTTTTTTTTTTTTTTTTTGAGACAGAGTCTCACTTTGTTGCCCAGGCTAGAGTGAGTGCCATGGCATCAGCCTGGCTCACAGCAACCTCAAACTCCTGGGCTCAAGCAATCCTCTGCCTCAGCCTCCCAAATAGCTGGGACTACAGGCATGCACCACCATGCCTGGCTAATTTTTTCTATATATATTAGTTGGTCAATTAATTTCTTTCTATTTTTAGTAGAGATAGGGTCTTGCTCTTGCTCAGGCTGGTTTTGAACTCCTGACCTCAAGCAATCTGCCTGCCTCGGCCTCCCAGAGGGCTAGGATTATAGGCCTGAGCCATGGCGCCCAGCCTAGGTTTATCTTTCTATTTCTCTTTTATTTTATTTTTTATTTTTATTTTTATTTTTTTTGAGACAGAGTCTCCCTTTGTTGCCCAGGCTAGAGTGAGTGCTGTGGCATCAGCCTAGCTCACAGCAACCACAAACTCCTGGGCTCAAGCGATCCTACTGCCTCAGCCTCCTGAGTAGCTGGGACTACAGGCATGTGCCACCATGCCCAGCTAATTATATATATATATTAGTTGGCCAATTAATTTCTTTCTATTTATAGTAGAGATAGGGGTCTCGCTCTTGCTCATTTTAGTTTCAAATTCCTGACCTCGAGCAATCTGCCCGCCTCGGCCTCCCAGAGTGTTAGGATTACAGACGTGAGCCATTGCACCCAGCCTCTTTTATTTTAAATAATAGTAAGTTGAGAGGGCTTTGCCCTTATTACTTTCTAGGTTACTACAGCCTAGAAATGTGTTTTACTCATTTTGTAGATAGTAACAATTTGACTTCATGTGCTGGTGACCCTACACTGTTGTTACGAGATTACTTCTCGGTTCCCTGAGAAACGTAAGAAATATGTCAGTGTAGTTTGCAGAAGTGACCAGGAGATACAGCAACATCCTTGGCTTAAGTTCTCCCAATTAAGCAAAGCCATTCCCATGGATTCCCTGTGGTACCTCTGCCTGAAATAAGCTATGAGGAAGGAGTAAAGTTAAAGAATGAGAACAGGATACAAATACAAAGTATAGAAAACAAGGAAGGGAAATAAGGGCAAGAAGAGGAAAGAAATAAGAGAACAGGCTAGAGAGAAGAGGAAAATATGGGATCAGTAGAAAGGAGGTGAAGAGAATAATCCAGAGGTCCGTTAGCCCAACCTGTGGTGTGAAAAGCATAGGCTTATGTGCTGCACCAAGGAAAAGCAGCTGGTGTGATAACCTTCCTGAGCTAATTTTGGGGAGTGTGTGCTTCCCTTTCTTATCCTCTGTTTTCAATATTTTTTAGGGGAAATTTCTTTGTTTTCATTTATCAGGTGGGGATGTGATGATATGCCAATACTTTTTTTTTTTTTTTTGAGACAGGGTCTCGCTTTGTTGTCAGGCTAGAGTGAGTGCCGTGGCGTCAGCCTAGCTCACGCAACCTAAACTCCTGGGCTCAAGCGATCCTTCTGCCTCAGCCTCCCGAGTAGCTGGATTACAGGCATGCGCCACATGCCCGGCTAATTTTTTTTTATATATATATCAGTTGGCCAATTAATTTCTTTCTATTTATAGTAGAGACGGGGTCTCGCTCAGGCTGGTTTTGAACTCCTGACCTTGAGCAATCCGCCCACCTCGGCCTCCCAGAGAGCTAGTTTTACAGGCGTGAGCCACCACGCCCGGCCCAGGTTCTCACTTTGTTGCCCAGGCTAGAGTGAGTGCCACGACATCAGCCTAGCTCACAGCAACCTCAAACTCCTGGGCTCAAGCAATCCTTCTGCCTCAGCCTCCCGAGTAGCTGGGACTACAGGCATGCACCACCATGCCCGGCTAATTTTTTTTTTCCATATATATTAGCTGCCCAATTAATTTCTTTCTATTTATGGTAGAGACAGGGTCTCGCTCTTGCTCAGGCTGGTTTCGAACTCTGGTTTTGTTTTTTTTTTGAGACAGAGTCTCGCTTTGTTGCTCAGGCTAGAGTGAGTGCCGTGGCGTCAGCCTAGCTCACAGCAACCTCAAACTCCTGGGCTCAAGCAATCCTCCTGCCTCAGCCTCCTGAGTAGCTGGGACTACAGACATGCCCGGCTAATTTTTTCTATATATATTAGTTGTCCAATTAATTTTTTTCTATTTATAGTAGAGACGGGGTCTCACTCTTGCTCAGGCTGATTTCAAACTCCTGACCTCGAGCAATTCTCCCGCCTCGGCCTCCCAGAGTGCTAGGGTTACAGGCGTGAGCCACTGCGCCTGGCCCCAATACTTTTAATTTTAACCTTGTTCAGTTGGTTTATCAAGTAAGATGTATTACAAAAGTCACATAAGGTATTTGAAGTCAAATTCATTTTATTCCCTTATTCATTCAACAAATAATTATTGATTGCATTGTATGTCCCACACACTAATGGTATAAAAATGAGATCCTGTCCTTGCCCTCAAGGTGTTTACTAGTCTGGAGAGAGAGACAAGCAAGTTACACAGTACAATGTGGTAAACATTAGGATATGAGTTAATAGAGGATGCTAGGAAAGCACAGAGGTGAGGCCCTTGATTCAGTCTTAGAGAGGATCCAGGAAGGCTGTTTAGACAAATTGACATGCAGTCTGAGTCCCAAATTAGCAGAGTGCAAGGTAGAGAGCAGGGAAAGGTGTTCCAGGAGAAGGGAGCAAAGGCCCAAACACAGAGAGAGAGCATAGTCTATTCAGAGGTCGTATTCAGGAAGATAGGAAGGATGTTTGCATTATCCAGTTTTTGGTGATTATCGTTCTGTTTCATGAGTGTGGATTATTGAAATTTGACTATGCTTGCTGGAGCACAGAACATTAAAGGCCTTGTTTTATAGCAGTTATTCTCTTTTAAGGTGAAGACATCAGAAAACATGCTTTCTGTCTAGAGATTCTAAGAAGAAAATTAAGCCCAACCTTTGAATTAGCAAATGATTAGTGTAGTAAAACTCTGTCCAATAAAATAAAGAAGGGACATACCCTTTTCTCATCCAATGTTTTTTCTTTTTTTTTAAAATAGAGATGGGTTCTCACACTGTCACCTAGGCTAGAGTGCAGTACCACAGTCACCGCAACCTCAAACTCCTGGGCTCAGGCAATCCTCCCACTTCAGCCTCCTGAGTAGCTGGGACTACAGTTTTGTGCCATCATACTTGGCTAATTTTTCTTATTTTTGTAGAGATAAGGTCTTGCTGTGTTGTCCAGGCTGCTTTTGAACTCCTGGCCTCAAGTGATCCACAGCCTCCCAAAGCGCTTAGATTATAGGTGTGAGCCATTGTGCCCAGCCTCACCCAGCTTTTGAATCTAATTGCGTTTTACTTTGTTTTTGAGGAGGGGTGTGTGTGTAAATTTAGGGTATTTGTTAAGCTGGTTAGGATGTTTGAATTAGGAGGGAAAGGAGTTCAAGAATGATTGCTAAAAATTACCTGTTGGGTACGCTGTACACTATTTGGGTGATGGATACACTAAAAGCTCAGACTTCACCACTCTACAGTTCATCCATGTAACTAAAAACCACTTATGTTCTTAAATCTATTGAAATAAAAAAGAGTGATTGCTACTTTATGGCAAAATAAAAGAAATACATTTAAATAACTCATTTCTATGATCCGACCTACTGAGCACAAGCTAGACTTAGTCAAGGACTTTGTTTCAGAGAGATAATTACTTTATTCAGGCAAAGCATTTGTTCAGCATTATTCACTGTGTAAAATTTGTGTCCAGATTAAGAGCATTGATTTCTATTTTTTGTAGGTTTTTTTTTTTTTTTTTTTGCATCAGAGTCTCACTCTGTTGCCCAGGCTAGAGTGCTGTGGTGTCTACCTAGCTCACAGCAACCTCAAACTCCTGGGCTCAAGCAATCCTCCTGCCTCAGCCTCCCTAGTAGCTGGGACTACAGGCATACACCACCATGCCCAGCTAATTTTTTCTCTATATTTTTAGTTGGTCAATTAATTTCTTTCTATTTTTAGTAGAGACGGGGTCTTGCTTTTGCTCAGGCTGGTTTTGAACTCCTGACCTTGAGCAGTCCTCCTGCCTTGGCCTCCCAGAGTGCTAGGATTACAGGCGTGAGCCACCATGCCTGGCCTATTTTTTGTATTTTTGTGACATGGATACAGCTGTATTAAACAAAAACCTTATGCGTGTTCATTGGACAATACTGGGATTTTTACCTGGATTAAAAGAGAAAAAAATTGTATGTGTGGAATAGGAAAAAGCAGGCTTAGGAAATAGCATGTAGATTCAGTGGTCATTTCTCACCCATCTTCATTCTTGACTTCTCTATAGCATTTGATGCTCCTTCTTTGCACACTAGCTTCTGTTGGGTTCCAGGGTGCCACTCCCTTGGTTCTCTTTCCTGACTAGTCCCTCCTCCTGAACCTTTTTTTTTCCTGATTTACCTTCATCTCCTCAGCCTCCAATGAAGGAGTACTTAGAGCAGTCTTTGGATCTCTTCTCTGTCTACACTCATTTCCTATGTGCTTTCTCTTTGAAGACTTTAAATACCATATATACTCTGACAATTCTCAAGTTGTAGAGTTTGGACATGGTGGCTTACACCTATAATCCGAGCACCCTGGGAAGCCAAGGAGGGAGGATCACTCAAGGTCAGGAGTTCAAAACCAACTTGAGCAAGAGTGAGACCCCGTCTCTACTAAAAGTAGAAATTAGCTGGCCAACTAAAAATAAATAGAAAAAATTAGCTGGACATGGTGGTGCATGCCTGTAGTCCCAGCTATTTGGGAGGCTGAGGCAGAAGGATTGCTTGAGCTCAGGAGTTTGAGGTTTCTGTGAGCTAGGCTGACACCATGGCACTCTAGACCAGGCAATAGAGCAAGACTCTGTCTCAAAAAAAAAAAAAATTTTTTTTTTTTGTAGAGACAGATTCTGGCCATATTGCCCAGACTGGTTTCAAATTCCTGGTCTCAAATGATCCCTATACCTCAGCCTCCCAAAGTGCTGGGATTATAGATGTGAGCCACTGTACCTGGCCATGAACTCAGGTCTCTCATATCCAACTGTCTACTGGCTGCTTCCACTTGGGTGTCTAATAGCTTCCTTTTTTCTTTTTCTTTAAATTTTAGAGACAGGGTCTTGCTCTGTTGCCCAGGGTGAAGCGTGGTAGTGCAGTCATAGCTTACTGTGACTTCAAGCTCCTGGGCTCAAGGGATCCTCCTGCCTCAGCTTTCCCAAGTAGCTGGGACTATAGGCATGTACCACTATGCCCAGCAAATTTTTTCATTTTTTGTAGAGATGAGGTCTTGCTATGTTGCCTAGGCTGATCTCAAACTCCTGTCCTGAAGTGATCCTCCTGCCTTAGCCTGCCAAAGTGCTGGGATTACAGGGATGAGCCACTGTACCCAGCCAGTTTCTTGAACTTTATTAAAAATATATAACTCCAGAACTTTTCCTCTCAAACCTGCATCTCTGGAAGTTCCTCCGCATCTCAGTTTCAGTTGTGTTGAATATATAGTGGAGTCTGCCTTGATTCTTTCACTCTTTTCATTTAATCCACTCGCAGGTCCTGTCTGATTTATCTTGAAATACATCCAGTGTTTGAACACTTCCTCCCACCTGCCCTGCTGCTGTTGGAATATTAGCCTTTTAAATGGTCTTCTTCCTTTTGCTCTTGGTTCCCTGAAGTCTAATTTTAACGGTGGCCACAATAATCTTTTTAAGTGTATGTCAGATCATGCCACTGCTCTGCTGAAAACTGTCTACTGGGTATCAGATTAAAATTCCACTCAGATTAACAACTAGCATCCTTACCATGGTCTATAAGGCAGCACCACCCTCTCCTGGCTGCTCTGACTTCATCTCCTACTGCTTCCCCTTGTGCTCTAGTCATGCTGGTCTCCTTGCACTTGCTCTAGCATGCCAGGCCTTGGGGCCTTTGTAGTTGTTTTTTCTGCCTGGAACATTGTTCTTCCAGATATCAGAATGGCCTTTTCCCTTACTTCACTCAGGTTTCTGCTCAGCTGTTACCTAGTCAGTGAAGTATTCCTTGACCATCCTGTTTAAAGTAAAAGCTGTCTCTCCCCCCTCTGCCTTACCTGTCCCCATTCCCTGCTTTATTTTTCTCCATAGCACTTCCTGCTATTTGACATACTATTGATTCATTCATTTATTGATTATTTAACAAGTACTTATTGAGTACTAATCTACTATGTGCCAGCAACTGTTCTAGGGACTCTCTTCATAGTTTTTTTTCTTCTTTTTTTTGAGACAGAATCTCACTCTGTTGCCTGGGCTAGAGTGTCATAGTGTCAGCCTAGCTCAGAGCAACCTCAAACTCCTGGGCTCAAGCGATCCTCCTGCTTTAGCCTCCTAAGTAGCTGGGACTACCGGCATGCGCCACCATGCCTGGCTAATTTTTTTAAAGATATATATTTTTTAGTTGTCCATCTAATTTCTTTCTATTTTTTAGTAGAGACAGGGTCTTGCTCTTGCTCAGGCTGGTCTTGAACTCCTGAACTCAAATGATCTGCCTGCCTCGGCCTCCCAGAGTGCTAGGATTTCAGGTGTGAGCCACCACGTCTAGCCTGTATTATAGTTTTTTTTTTTTAATTTTAATACTTACTTTTCTTTCTTTTTTTTTCTCTCACATGTGGTGCTGAAGGAATATCATAGTTTTTTATGTGTCACCGTCCACTAGAATGTAAATTTCATGAGTTAGGACTATGTTTTACTCTTTGTTATATTTTCACATCTTAGAACAGTGCCTAGAACATAGGAGTTGAATGAATAAGTTTATTCAATTTTTAAACAAAAATACGTTGAATAAATAGAGGGCTGTGCACCACATAAGGAGGGGAAGATGTATATGAATAAGACCTTATTCCTGCCCTCAGGTTGCTAAGAGTTTATAAAATGCTTATTTTGACCAGAACAGTACTGTGTTCTCCAGCAGGACAAAGTGCTACATCATTCTGGAATTGGAGAGGTGAGGACTGGTGTGCAGGGGTGTCGATATCATCAGAGATGAAGTCCTGCTTTGTCAGGCTTATCAATAATTTGCACTCTTTCTGGGAGGGCAAGATTGATGATAGCTCACTAAAAAGCTTACTGGCTTTTTAGTTCACAATTCCTGTTTGGTCTTGTCTTGTTAGAGCAGTTATGGCATTTTCAAGAGTTTCTTTTTTCTTTTTTTTTGACAAGAGTCTCACTCTGTTGCCTGGGCTAGAGTGCCGTGGTGTCAGCCTAGCTCACAGCAACCTCAAACTCCTGGGCTCAAGCGATCCTCCTGCCTCAGCCTCGTGAGTAGCTGGGATTACAGGCACGTGCCACCATGCCCGGCTAATTTTTTTATGTTTTTAGTTGTTTGGCTAATTTCTTTCTATTTATAGTAGAGATGGGGTCTCACTCTTGCTCAGGTTGGTCTCGAACTCCTGAGCTCAAGCAATCCTCCCGCCTCAGCCTCCTAAAGTACTAGGATTACAGGCATGAGCCACTGCGCCCAGCCTCAAGAGTTTCTTAAAAATCGTGTCATCAGTCTTGGTTCTTTTTAGGTAACTGCTAGGTACCTTTTAACAAAACCACCACCTCCCAGGATAAGTGAGTGAAAGCGTTTACCAACTTTACCTTCCTCTATCAAAGTTCTTTTCTGGTAACCCGTGTATTAGCTGTGTGATCTTGAACCTCAGTTTCTGTACCTTTCAAATGACAAATGACATGATCTTTCTTCTTGTGAGGATTAAATGACTAATATACCAGTTTTGAGAACAGGAGAGTGGAATGGGGAAGGGAAGTAGAAGACTGACAGTTTCTTTTTTTTAGTAAATACTGTGTATCTCTGCTTTATTTTGAAAAACAAATTTTTATGAGTATTTTTTTCTAATAAGAGTAATAAAGATTTTATTTTTTAAAAACAAAGACTTCAGGAGGGGGGCGGGTATATACGTATATAATGAGTGAGATATGCACCATCTGGGGGATGGTCATGCTGGAGGATCAGACTTGTGGGGGGAGGGGGGAATGGGCATTTATTGAAACCTTAAAATTTATACCCCCATAATATGCCAAAATAAAAAAAATACAAAAAAAAATAAAAATAAAAACAAAGACTTCAGTATATTGTTTTTTTTTTGAGACAGAGTCTCACTTTGTTGCTCAGGCTAGAGTGAGTGCCGTGGCATCAGCCTAGCTCACAGCAACCTCAAACTCCTGGGCTCAAGCAATCCTTCTGCCTCAGCCTCCCTAGTAGCTGGGACTACAGGCATGCGCCACCATGCCCGGCTAATTTTTTTCTATATATATTAGTTAGCCAATTAATTTTTCTGTTTATAGTAGAGATGGGGTCTAGCTCTTGCTCAGGCTGGTTTTGAACTCCTGACCTTGAGCGATCTGCCTGCCTTGGCCTCCAGTGTGCTAGGATTACAGGCATGAGCCATAGTGCCCAGCCAGTATATTGTTTTTATAGAGAAACAGGTTACTAATAAATATTTCCCTGTCTTTCCACCCAGGTACTTATCCCTATATTACATGAGGGGAATGAAATACTAGAACCCTACCCCATGCTACTCAGTGAGCTCTGGTAGCAAGGTAAGAAAAAAACCTTTTCCCATAAGAAGAAATTGGAACTTAGGAGGTTGTAGTCTTTGGGAGAGGTTCAAAGGGATTGATGATGATAATGACAACAGCAATAATAGTAATGGCTAATTCTGATAAGCTGTGCTAAGGCACTATGCTAAGCACTTTCTTGTGGATCATCATCTTTTAACAACCATAGCCATCAGTACTGTGAAGCAGAGCATAGGAGTAAGTAGCATAGTCTCTGGGATTAGACCTCCTGCACTGACATCTCAGCTTTGCCACTAACTGACTGTGTAGCCTTGAAGAAGAAAACTGCTTCATTTTCCTCATCTGTGCAGATGATCCCTGACTTACAATGATTCGACCTATAATTTTTTGACTTTATCATGGCACAAAAGCAATATGCATTAATTAGAAACTATGCTTCAAATTATGAATTTTGATCTTTTCCTGGGCTAGTGACATGTGGTATGATACTCTCTCGTGATACTGGGCAGTGTGATCTTGAGGGTAAATAGCTGATACTGTGTTCTACAGTTTACTGTATTTAATAAATTACATGAGATATTCAATATTTTATTATAAAATAGGCTTTATATTAGATGATTTTGCCCAACTAAAGACTAACGTTATTGTTCTGAGCATGTTTAAGGTAGGCTAGGCTAAGCTATCATGTTTGATAGATTAGATACAGTAAATGCATTTTTTTTTTTTTTTTGAGTTAGGGTCTCAGTCTGTTTCCCAGGCTAGGGTGCTGTGGTGTGATCACTCACTGCAAACTCAAACTCCTGGGCTCAATCAATCCTCCTGCCTCAGCCTCCCAAGTAACTGGGACTACAGGCATTTGCCACCATGCCTGGCTGATTTTTTTCTATTTTTGTTAGAGGTGGGGTCTTGCTTTTGTTCAGCTGGTCTGGAGCTCCTGACCTCAAGTGATCCTCCTGTCTTTGCTTCCCAGAGTGCTAGGATTACAGGCGTTGGCCACCTTGTCTGGCCAGTAAATGCATTTTTGATTTAAAGTATTTTTAACTTACAATGGATTTATCAGGATGTCCCATCATTGTAAGTTGAGGAACATCTGTATCTGTAAAATGAGGTTAATGATAGTACCTGCTTCCTAAGGATGTCGTGATAGGTAAACAACATAAGGCATGTAAAGTGTTTAGCATAGTGCTTGGCACATAGAAAGTGCTTACCAAATGTCAGCTGTTATCATAATTAAAATAGTTGTTATCATTTAATAGATGGAGAAACAAAGGCTTAGAGAGAGATAAAGTAATTCACCTAAGTCACACAGCATATAAATGATGAAACCAGTTTGTACCCAGGTAGTTAAACTCTAGAGCTTTTGCTCTTAATTATTAAACTGCATCCCTTTAGTAGGTTGAGGGGCAGAGACAAAAACTGCATGTTGTTGAACTTGAGTATACGTATAAAGGTCAGGCTTGGGTTTTGACCTGTGTAAGCTTCATTGTGATCTTAAGCATCTTATCACCATAGTGTGCTTCGATTATTCTCTGAGTTGATTCTTCTTTAGATCCAAATAAATGAATGATAGGTTAGTTATGTTCTCCTGCTGAGGGACTGGGTGCTCCCTGGGCCAGGAAATCGAGCTAAAAAAACATGCGTCTCAGTGCTCATTGGACCTGAAGTAGGAGCTTGTCCTGTCTTTCTTGTTATTATGCTCGTCTCCTTCATATGACTGGTAATGGTGAGAAGCAAAGCAGTGTGCACACTGAGAACTTTCTAAGTGCTGTGTGCTTCACATGGATTATCTCATTTAATCCTTAAAATAACCTTATAAGTAGTCACTCTTATCCGTATTTTACAGAGTCAAAGACAGGTTAGGAAACTTGTTTAAAATCATACAGTTACTAAGTGGTAGAGTTGGGATTTGAATAGATCTGACTCCAGAGTCCATGCTCTTAACCTCTGCACTCTACTGCTGTACTCTTCTCTTACCTCTGTAAAGTAGGTAGTATGGGCTGTGTGGTTTAAAAGGTAGTAGGGCCAGTTCTGTTTTTGTCATCTGGAAAATGGAAAGATTTTGACTACTGGACTAGGAATAAGAAGGCCTATAATCTTTTTTTTTTTTTTTTTTTTTGAGATAGAGTCTGTTGCTGGGCTAGAGTGCTGTGATGTCAGCCTAGCTCACAGCAACCTCAAACTCCTGGACTCAAGTGATCCTCCTGAAGGCCTATGATCTTGTCTTGACCCAGTCACCAGCTTGCCATATCTAGGACTTTTCTTAGCTTTATTGTCCTCATTCATTAAACAAAAGGATTGCTCTAGGTGGTTTTTGAGGTCCCTTTGAATGCTGATGTTCTAGGAAGTAAGAAGAGTAACACACCTGCTCAGCTCCTAGAGTTTGGGGCAGTGGTATTTGTGAGGTCTTAGGGAGTCTGCCTTGTGCCGGGAAGACACCAGATTCTAGGGGAAATGATGAGCCCCCTCCTTGAAGTAGGTAGGTCTGGGCTCTTTTTTGAGGCTAGTTTCTAAGGAACTTAGCCTCTGGCCAGCAGCAGCCAGGAATGCTTTGGTTGAGGCTTGGTACAGATAACTAAAACAAGCAGTACATTTAGGTTTCATTTCTTGCTTCCCCTTTTCCTTTTCCTTTCCTTTTCAATCTGCTAGTTTTTTTAATTTTAATTTTTTCATATGAAAGCAGGGAGTAAGGTTCAATTTCTTTGACGTCTTCTTCTTCTTCTTTTTTTTTGAGATAGAGTCTCACTCTGTTGCCCTGGGTAGAGTGCAGTGGTGTCATCATAGCTCACTTCAACCTCAGAACTCTTGGGCTTTAGGGATTCTCCTGCCTCAGCCTCCCAAGTAGCACACCACAATGCCTGGCTCATTTTTCTATTTTTAATAGAAATGGGGTCTTGCTCTTGCTCCTGCTCAGGCTGGTCTCAAACTCCTGAGCTCAAGAAATTCTCCTGTGTTGGCCTTCCAGAGTGCTAGGATTATAGGTGTGAGCTACTGTGCCTGGCCAAGCTGTTATGTTTGAACACTTTCATGTGTCACACATTGTTTTAAGTGCTTAACAAAGTATCATATTATTTATTCTTCATAGTAATCTCATGAAATAGGTACTATAATCACTCTACATTTATAGATAATGAAATTGAGGCAAATAGTTAAATAATTTGTCCACATTTACTCAGGTAGAAAGTAGTATCAAACCTATACTTTTAGCCACGAGGTTGAACTGCCTAATTGGATCTTTAAAAAAATAAGCAGAAGGAGGACCCTCGTTACTTTTTAATGTTTTTTTGTTTCTTTTTATTCTTGTTTTATTTAAAATAATAGACTCTTGGAGCTGGAAAGAGCCTTTGAGGTAATTTAATATAATTTTCTTATCTCCCGTCTGCCATCCAGTTACAGGAATGCTTTCTATCATCCCCTTGACAGATGATCATACAAGTTCTCTTTGAATACCTCCATTGATGGGGGAGCTCATCACTTCTTGAGGACTTAGTTACATTGTTGAGTAGCTCTCATTGGTAGAAAATTATTTCTTGTTTTGAATTGAAGTCTAATTGAAACTTCTTACTAATTTTAGGTTAGTCCCTAGACCATACTAGATAAGTATAATCCATATTCCATATGCTAGCCTTATGAACCTTTGAAGACAGTCTTCTTCCTCTTCATAAGGCATATTTCCTGTCTTTTTTTTTTTTTTTTTTTGAGACACAGTCTCACTCTCTTGCCCTGGCTAGAGTGCCATGGTGTCAGTCTAGCTCACAGCAACCTCAAACTCCTAGGCTCAAGCAATCCTTCTGCCTCAGCCTCCTGAGTAGCTGGGACTACAGCCTTCTGAGTAGCTGGGACTACAGGCATGCACCATCATGCCTGGCTAATGTTTTCTATTTTTGGTAGAGATGGGGTCTTGCTCTTGCTCAGGCTGGTCTCGAACTCCTGAGCTCAAACGGTCCGCCTGCCTCGGCCTCCCAGAGTGCTAGGGTTACAGGCGTGAGTCACTGTGCCTGGCCTCCTGTCTTTCATAGCATCTACACTTGCTGTCAGTTCAGATAAGTCTGTGCAAAAGCAACCTCTACCTTTCGCTTTTGCAAATACAGCCTAAAAAGTCTATGCTTCACTTCTTGTGATTATTTAGGCGCAAAGTGAATGGACTTCCCCACATCCTTGGAGAGTGAATGATGGTGAGCTAAGTCTTTATAATTGCATATGAGTCTGGAGAGTTTGGAGTCTCCTACTCTTATAATCTTTAGGACGTCAGGCTGCTGCCCTACACACTCCATCAGAGCTCACAAAATGGCTGGAAGTTTATCCGGGCACTTGACAAACTGCATTTACTTCATCAGGCCACTAGGTGATGAACAACTCAAACCCAGACTATCAGGGACTGTTGGGTATAGGACAGTTTCTGTTTGTGTTTAGAAAGGGCATCAGAAGTCATTTGGTCCAATCTCATTGAAAGGTTTTTTGTGGGGAGGTAAATGTTTCTTGTATACTTTGTCTTTCCTGGCTTTGTTCTAATTTTAAATATTAATTGGCCAGGACATTTCTTTGAGTGATTTTCATAGGCTTGGAGCATGGGTGGTACTTTCAAAGTCTTTATATGTCCAATTTCTTTCTTTTTTCTTTTCTTTTTTGAGACAGGGTCTCATTCTGTCACCTAGGTTGGAGTGCAGTGGCAAAATCATAGCTCACTGCAGCCTTGAACTCCTGGGTTTAAGTGATCCTCTTGCTTCAGCCTCTTGAATAGGTGGGACTACAGGGGAGGGCCACCATGCTTGGCTGATTTTTAAATTTTTTGTAGAGATGGGAGTTCTCACTGTGTTGCCCAGGCTGATTTCAAACCCCTGGCCTCAAGCAGTCCTCCTACCTTGGCCTCCCAGAGTCCTGGGATTACAGGTGTGAGCCACTGCATCTGGTTATATATGTTCAATTTCTTTTTCTTTTTCTTTCTTTTTTTTTGAGACAGAGTCTCACTCTCCTGCCTGGGCTAGAGTGCCGGGGAGCCAGCCTAGCTCACAATAACCTCAAACTCCTGGGCTTAAGTGATGCTCCTGCCTCAGCCTCCCGGGTAGTTGGGACTACAGGCATGTGCCACTGTGCCCGGCTCATTTTTTCTATTTTTAGTTGTTTGGCTAATTTCTTTCTATTTATAGTAGATACGGGATCTCGCTCTTGCTCAGGCTGGTCTCAAACTCCTGAGCTCAAGCAATCCTCCCACCTAGGCCTTCTAGAGTGCTAGGATTATAGGTGTGAGCCACCACTCCCGGCCTGTCCAGTTTCTTTTAATCTTCATGTTTGAATGATGTCTTGGTTGAATTTAGGATTCTTGAATACTAATCCTAGTCTCTACAAAGTCTATAGCAGCTTTCTATTTTTTTGAATTTCTGGTGATGTAGATGAGAAGTCCAATGCCAATAGGATTATTTTTTCTTTATAAGTAATAACCTGTTCTTTCTCTCTCTCTCTCTCTTTTTTTGAGATAGAGTCTTACTCTGTTGCCCAGGTGAGTGCCATGGCATCAGCCTAGCTCACAGCAACCTCATATACTCCTGGGCTCAAGCAATCCTTCCTGCCTTAGCCTCCCAAGTAGCTGAGATTACAAGTGCACACCACCATGCCCAGCGAACTTTTTTCCACTTTTAGTAGAGACGGGGTCTTGCTGTCTTTCAGGCTGGTCTCAAACTCCTGAGCTCAAGCGATCTTCCTGCCTCGTTCTCCCAGAGTGCTAGGGTTACAGGTGTGAGCCACTGTGCCTGGTCTAACCTGTTTTCTCTTTCTGAAAGTTTGTGAATTTTGTATTTATGTTTAGAGTTTCACTGTATGCTAAGGTGTGTGTCTTTTAAAAATAACCCTGTTTGGCACTTGATGAGCCTTTTAGACTTAAAAACTTAAGTCTTTCCTCATACTTCTCAATAAAGATCACAGAAAAAAAATTTATATTAAAAAAACCTTAAGTCTGGCCAGGCGCGGTGGCTCACGCCTGTAATCCTAGCACTCTGGGAGGCCGAGGCGGGCGGATTGCTCGAGGTCAGGAGTTCGAAACCAGCCTGAGCAAGAGCGAGACCCCGTCTCTACTATAAATAGAAAGAAATTAATTGGACAACTAATATATAGAGAAAAAAATTAGCCGGGCATGGTGGTGCATGCCTGTAGTCCCAGCTACTCAGGAGGCTGAGGCAGGAGGATTGCTTTAGCCCAGGAGTTTGAGATTGCTGTGAGCTAGGCTGATGCCACGGCACTCACTCTAGCCTGGGCAACATAGCAAGACTCTGTCTCAAAAAAAACCAAAACAAAACCTTAAGTCTTTTCTCAGGTCAGGGAAGTTTTTTGCTTCCCTTCCTTCTGTTTCCAATATCAGGAAATTGAAACTAAGTCAGAAAGATGAAGTGACTTGCCCAAGATCATATAGCTAGTTACAAATGAACCTGAAACAAATAACCTGAGTCCTCTGATGAATTAGACATTTATTCTGTTGAATATTGCTCGAGTGGGAGGGCCATTATGAACAACTTATATATTTTTTAGTGAGACAGGAATTTTGCCTAGGGTTCATGGGGAAATGAAGGAAGATGTGATAACATTCATCATGATTAAAATGTGACCAACTTGAAGGACTGAAGACTTCACAAGTCTCCTGGTATCCTAGTTATTGGAGCTACCCCGAAGCTCTAAAACTTAATACAACCAGGAAGTTGCTTGAGCACTTGGAGAATTAGATTTTTAGTGTCAGGAGTTGGATAAGTGTAGTCATGCCCTGCTATAAATATTGGAAAATATATAAGTGGCATTTGAAGGCTTGGAGACAGAAACCATAAACCGTGTCTTATCAGTGGTCTGGTTTCTGTTTTTGAGTTCCAGCCTGGGACACTTTTCTGCTGGGAACCACCTGTTCCTGGCTTTGTTGATCTTTGGATTTCCCCAGCCCTTCAGTCCCTTTCGGTTTTGAAATGAAACCTACTCCAGAGGGCGAGGTCAGGTACTGAGAGGACTTTGACAGCTCACACCATATTGTTTTTTTTTCCAGAGCTGTCTGGTATGTGACTGCGTGAGGTGTGAGGCTCAGCAGGCTCTGATATGGACTAATTGATGGTGAATCAGCTGTTGGGTAAGGCCTGGAGAGTGTCATTTTTTTGGGTAACCAGGAAAACATGGACCGAATACATTGTGCTTCATCTATAGAAAGTTGAAAGTTAAGAGCACAATCTCCAGAGAGCTGCCCTGACCTCTCTGCCTTTGGTTTGCTGAAGAAGGAAAGGCTTTATTTTAGCCTCATCTCTTCTCATTTTCAGGTCCTCCTGTCTGTTCAAGCCTCTGGCTTCCTCCTGCTGCTCCCGCTTCTACACCTTTATATACTGTGCCTCTTGGAATTGTTGCATTGGGAACTAACTCTTCTAGGTATCCCTAAGCACCTCCCTCCTCCAACCAGACTCTTCACAAAAGAGTCCTCTTCCCTTTGCTGTGAACTTCGTTTCTACCAGATTACAGCACTTCACTTAGAATATTTACAAGCAGGCCGGGCGCGGTGGCTCACGCCTGTAATCCTAGCACTCTGGGAGGCCAAGGCGGGCGATTGCTCGAGGTCAGAGTTTGAAACCAGCATGAGCAAGAGCGGAGACCCGTTGTCTGATATAAATAGAAGAAATTATTGGCCAACTTATATATATATATATATATAATTTATATAATTATTACTAATAATATTATATATATATATAAAATAGCCGGCATGGTGGTACATGCCTGTATCCCAGCTACTCGGAGGCTAAGGCAGCAGGATCGCTTGAGCCCAGGAGTTTGAGGTTGCTGTGAGCTAGGCTGACGCCACGGCACTCACTCTAGCCTGGGCAACAAAGTGCAACAACAACAAAAAGAATATTTACAAGTGGAATTAGCTTTTTCTTTTCTTTTGTTTTTGTTTTTGAAACATAGTCTCACTCTGTTGCCGGGTTAGAGTGCCGTGGCATCAGCCTATATTTTAGTTGTCCAGCTAATTTTTTCTATTTTTTTTGTAGAGAAGGGCTCGTTGTTGCTTAGGCTGGTCTTGAACTCCTGAGCTCAAATGATCCGCCCGCCTCCCAGAGTGCTAGGATTAGGCGTGAGCTACCAGGCCCAGCCGGAACTAACTTGTTCTTCAGCTCACCTCATAATACTTCCTCTCTGACTTTGCCTATCTTCCAGCCTCATTTCCCAGCACTCCAGAGCTGCTTTTAGACCTTCCTACACTTTCAAATACGTTTTTGCCTTTGAAATGTCTGCTGGCCAGTAAGGCCACCTGATTGCTGTCCTTGAGGCAGGCATCTGCATCCATTCCCTTGTGTTTGTTTGAGACTTTGGAGTCTGACTCCCTCCTTGTGCCCAGGCTTGGTGATTGGTGGCAGGGTGCTTGGGCCAAGCATTCAGGGTAGAGTGTGGAATTGGGGGTTGGTGTAGCATTGCAGATATGGGCAGGTGGAAGCTGATAGATGTGAACTTAAGGAGGTAGGAGGGACAGAGATTTAGTATCTGAAGCAAAAGATGTCCTTGTAGGCTCTTCTGTGCCATTCTTTTTTTTTTTGAGACAGAGTCTCACTTTGTTGCCCAGGCTAGAGTGATCCATGGCGTCAGCCTAGCTCACAGCAACCTCAACTCTGGGCTCAGCAATCCTCCTGCTCAGCCTCCCAAGTAGCTGGGACTCAGGCATGTGCCACCATGCCCGGCTAATTTTCTTATACGTATTAGTTGGCCATTAATTTATTTCTATTTATAGAGAGACGGGTCTCGCTCTTGCTCAGGCTGGTTCAACTCCTGATCTTGAGCAATCCACCCGCCTCGGCCTCCCAGAGTGCTAGGATTACAGGTGTGAGCACCGCCCGGCCTGTGCCCATTCTTTTTTGAAAAATTATTATTTAATTTATAGAGACTATAGTAAATAATCTTATAAAAAGTCAAAACATTATAATAATAATTTGACACTCCTATCATCCAGTTTAGTGGTTTGGAATGTGTCTTCCAGACTTTTTTGTGTATGTTTACATACATATGTATGAGCCTTTCCCAAAATTTAAAGTGTTAATTTTGTGTTTTATTTTTTATTTTTTGAGACAGAGTCTCACTCTGTTGCCCGGGCTAGAGTGCTGTGGCGTCAGCCTAGCTCACAGCAACCTCAAACTCCTGGGATAAAGTGATCCTCCTGCCTCAGCCTCCGAGTAGTTGGGAGTACAGGCATGCGCCACCACGCCGGCTATTCTTTCTATATATTTTTAGTTGCCAATTAATTTTTTTTCTGTTTTAGTAGAGACGGTCTCACTATTGCTCAGGCTGGTTTTGAACTCCTGACCTAGAGTGATCCGCCCTCTTTGGCCTCCCAGGTGCTAGGTTACAGGCATAAGCCATGCACTGGCCTCTATGTTTTTTTTTACATCATGAATAACACATTTTATTATCATTTGTATTTCCTCTGATTCATATGTGCCTTTACAATATCCCATGTTAGTACATAAGATATATCTCATTCTTTGGATGCTGTGTAGTATTTCATAGAATTGATATGCTATATTTATTTAGCTTTTCTATCAACAGACTAGATTTTTCAGTTTTTTTTTTTTTTTTGAGACAGAGTCTCGCTTTGTTTGCTAGGCTAGAGTGAGTGCCGTGGCGTCAGCCTAGCTCACAGCACTCAATCCTGGCTCAAGCGATCTCTGTCTCAGCCTCCCAAGTACTGGGTACAGGCATGAGCCACCATGCCGGCTAATTTTTTCTATATATATTAGTTGGCCAATTAGTTCTTCTATATTATGTAGAGCCGGGTGTCTCGCTCTTGCTGGTTTCGAACTCTCGACCTTGAGCAATCCGCCCGCTCGCCTCCCAGAGAGCTAGGATTACAGGCGTGAGCTACCGCACCCGCCCCAGTTTTTTTTTAATATAAGACTCTGTTGTATTTTTAATGTTAGCATTCTGTTTCTTGGCTTTCTTTGCCTCCCTATGCTTTCCCTCGAATTCTCCCTGGGTAATCTCAATATCTTTGACAGCTTCAGTTATCATCTACACATGGATGGTTCCCAAATCTCTAGCCCAAATCTCTCTCCAGACCAGAATTTCCAACTGCCCATGTGACAACTCCACTGGGATGTCTTGCAGACACGGCAGAATGTAGGTACTTTTTCTCACTTGCTCCTTCTCTAGTGTCCTCCATCATACACATTATAAATAGCATGCAGTGGCTAAAGCCCAAACCTATTAGTGACTAGTAGCCCATGCTTCCCTTCCCACATGTGACAACCAGTCAATCACTAGGACTTGTCCTTTTTACCTCCTCAATACTTCTTGAACCCAATCATTTTCCTTCTTTATTGCCACTACCCTGTGCCTTAGTTTTGTAATTTATAAATAGAATACTTATGAGGATTAAGTTATTTAATACATGTAAAATACTTAGAATAATAGATTGGCACCTACTTTTGCTGTATGGGTATTAGTTGTTAACGGCTCTCATTGTCCACTCTCATCTCTGCCTCCAGTCTTGGTTTTATTCCTTCCCTACCTCTATTCCATTCTCGGACACTACAGCCAGAGTGTCTTTATAAGTGTATGGATGATTATGATGACATTTCCCCTGCCTAAAAATCATCTGTGAAATTTCTATTGGCTTTTGCATGGTTGTTACCTCCACCCAGAATGCTTTTCTCCTTGATTATTTTTTAAAAGACACAGTCTCACTTTGTCACCCAGGATGGAGTGCAGTGGCATGATAATAGCTCACTGCAGCCTTGAACTCCTGGCCTCGCCTCCCGAGTAGCTACAGCATGTGCCACCATCTCTTGGCTAGTTTTTTTTTTTTTTTTTTTTTTTTTTTTTTTAGAAACTGGGTCTTGCTATGTTGCCCAGGCTGGTCTCAAACTCCTGGCCTCAAGTGGTCCTTTCACCTTGTCTTCCCAAAGTGCTGGCTTATAGGTGTGAGGCACTGCATCTGGCCTCTCCTTGGTCTTTGGATGGCTGGCTTTTGAAAATTGAGATCTGCTTTTAAATGTTATCTCCTGAGACAGGTCTTCTCCTGACAACCTAATGATTCTAAAGTGGCCACCCATATACTTTTTTATTTTTAATTAAAAAAATTTTTTTTTATACTTTCTTCACTTATTTTTTCATTTTTTTCTTTTTTTTGCTTTCCAAGGTAACATTTCCTATGCATTCCCATATACTTTCTATCACATCACCTCATTTTAATTCTTTGCATAGCACTTAACAATATCTAATATTTTTCTGGTTTATTTGCATATTTGTTTATAGTCTTTTTGCATTAGAATGTAAATTTTCTGAGAACAGAGATACTGTCTGTTTTATTTACTATTGTATTCTTAGCACCTAGGGCAATGTCTGACACATTATTGAAATTCAGTAAGTAATTAAGTGAATAATAAAACAGCTTCATATATCTTATGAGGCCTTTCTTGGCCTCTCTAACATCAGTTGTGTCAGTACACTGTCTGCTTCACCTTCCCATCCACCAACTCATCCCATCTCTTTGAATGTACTTTCTTGCTGTGAGGCCTTTGCATGTACTGTTCCTTGTGCCTAGAACACTCTTCCTCAAATGCCCTGCCACTGCCTGGCAGGTAGCTCCTGTTCATCCTTCAAGTTATAGCTTACATGTAGCTTCACTTCACTAGCCTTCTTGATCCTACAACTCTGTATGCATTGTAACTTCTGTAGGGCAAAAACCTGTGTTGTAGTCACCATGAATTCCTAGTTGTAGCTGACCTGCTGTGGCTAGAAGGATCCTTGAAAGTGGGGCAGTAGGAGAGGGGGATGCAGTGTCAGGAGCAGCACCTGAGGGCTAGGAAGGTATACTTTATGATGTCAGGATGAGGTCTAGACATTTGGCCCTTGGCTCATTGTCCTCCTTATTTCATCATTTTTGGTGACTCCAGTGTTTGTCTGGGATGAACCATCTAACATACTTGAGGTAAACTGTGTAACGTGTGTCTCTCTCTGAGTCATATTCATGAAACCAGGGTAAGCTTGATGGAGGGACTTGCCTGTGAATGGGAGATGTGTACTGAGGATAAAGGTTGAGGATCTAGATGGGCAGATTGTTTACTCCAGGTAGCTGAAGGCAGAATAACTGAT